GGGGCGCGGGGGGGGCCGCCTTGTCCGGGATTTCGGGAAGGGGCTGCCGGCTGCGCTGGAGGGAAGGGGAGCGGGAGGGAAGGGGGCCTCAGCAGCGCCTGGCGGGGCAGGGGCAGCGGCCGGGGACGTGTGCGGTGAAGTGACACCTTTGCAGGTGGCTCCTGTCCCGCGGCTTTGGTGGGATCACACCAGCGAAACCTCGGGAAGCTTGAGCAGCTTGGCACAAAGCAAAGGGTGGGATCCTCCTAGATGCAGGAGGAGCTGCGTGGCAGAGAGGAAGAGGTGGTCACGCTCTGGCAGCTGCTGCTCATCCTCGCAACTATTGAACCTCTCAGCACCCTCCGTGAGCCCTCATAGGAGACCTCCCCACAGGAACCCACCTCCTCATCGCCTCTCCTCTTTCCAAACCAGTCCAGATTTGTTGCAGGGACGAGGCGATCCAGCAGCCAGCCCAAAAAAGTGTAAATCTTGGGAGAAAGAGGGAGAGCAGCGTGCTTGGCTGCAGCCTCTGGTGAGAAGCAACGTGTTCCCTGCAGCTGAGCCTTTGGCTCCTCCACGCAGCCCCCTCCACAAATGAGCCCCTTGCATGTGGCGGGCCAGCAAATGAGGAGTCACAGCACTGTGGAGGGGTAGGTATAGGCCAGAGGCTGAAGTGAGGGCCCCAGTCTTCCCAGACTCGCATCTGTTTTTCAGGCTGATGATCAGGCTCCTCTCTCCAAGGGCTCCTGTTCTGGTACATGCCTGTGAGGCCACAGAGCCAAACCTGCTAGCAGGGTTTCGGGCTCTGTGTTGGGTAGGATGTTTGCACAGGGCAGCCTCAAAAAGCCCAACCAGCTTTTCCCTCAGAAAAAAAAAAAAATACATGCACCACCTGTTTTCTGGAAGATGGCAGCCCTTCCTCTGTGCCCACTTGCCATGTCACTAGCAGGCTCCTGCATGCCACAGCACAGACCCGTGCTGCCCATGATCACAGTCCCCCCGAGGACTTAAACATCTGGACCAGCATCGGAATGTGCCTTCCTGATGAGGCCACTTGAGCCTCCACGGATTGGGAGCTGCCAGGGTTTGCAGTGCCGGAGGAGCTACCGTGCTGGGGCGGTGCAGACGCAAGACAAGAATGGTTGTGGTGTCCCGTCTTGCTCGCTTTTAGTGACGGGTGTTTAGGGATTGTAAGTCTGAGGAGAGCCTGGTTGCTGCAACTTGGATCTTGTTTTGCCACTTCCCCCAAAACGCAGCTGCGAAAGGCACCAAGGAGCGCGTTCACGCACTGCACCCAAGCAGGGAGCTCTGTGCTCGCTGGCACCGCGCTTCCCGCTCTGCAAACCGTGCTAAGGGCGGCTTCCTTAAGCGAGATGGAAGTATCTGAAACTCAAATCAGGGAATGGAGTAGCCCGAGGGTGATGAAACCTATTTTGGCTGTGAGATGGGGATTAGGAAACGTGGAGGCAGTACAAGAGCAGAGTGCATCACTCCAGTGCTCCTCAGGCAGTTTTTCTTAACTTTTTTTTCCCTCTTTTTCTGGAGACAAGTGGAGCAGGGCCTTGGAAAAACATCTGCTAAACATGTGATATCCACAGCAGCTCCAGGGCCTCGGCGCCGCTTGAGCTCATGTGAGCCCAGCGGAGAGAAGGCTGGTCCACATATCTGCAGCTGCGCAGAGCAGGCACCCCCACAGGTGCATTTGCACTGCTAACAAAACACCCTGCAAGACTTATTTAATTTCATAGTAATCCAGGCAGAGAGAACCCACTATCCTGAAAACATCCAGGAGAGCCAATGGAGAAGAGCAGAGCAAGAAGAGAAAACCTGCGTTGCCTGCAGGGCTTCCCAGCAGGTTCCTGAGCTCTTTGTTCATTGCGCACCCATGGGCTGTGAAAGGCCTAGAGCACTTATGGCCCCACACCAGCCCTGCTTTCTGCATCGGAGTTAAACCCAGCATTTTCAATCTCTCTGAAAAGATGAGATTTTTTTCCATGTGCGTCCTTGTGCATGAACTTGTTTAACCTCAGGACTTTGCTCTGTCATCAGCATTTTAGGGACTTGTTTCCTGTTTCCCACCCTGCCGATTAAAGCAAGCAGCACTTTGAAATGCAAAGGGGAAGGGGCAGGAGCTGCCCTGGGTTCCTACAGCCCTTCGGACAGGGGCTGGAAAGGGCAGGGAACAGAACAGGAGGCAGAAGGGAATAAACTTGCCTGCAAACTCCTGCGCAGTGAGGTAAAGAAGGAGCCTACCATGCAAGAGAGCAGACACACTCAGATATATAACTGTGCACATGCAAATACATTAATAAAGAGTTAGACAAATAGGGAACATAGAGTTCTCCCCCGAAAAATCGAACATACATATATATGTCTAAATGCACATGCACACACAGATAAATAGCTATCTAAATAAACGTTTCCAGCTGAGGGGACGGGGAAGGCTCTCTGCCTTCACAGCGTGACCCCGGCTGGCAGAGCGCCGGTGTCGGAGCTGCCAGCTCCCTGCCCTTTGCACAGTGCCAGGCGGCAGCGGAGGCCGCGCGATGAGCGTGGCGGGTCTCAGCCGGGGCAGGCGAGCGCCCGGGGCCGTGCCCGGGTCACCACTGCAGCACAGAGGCCAGCGCAGGGCTGGGAAAGGGCCTGGCCTGTCCTGCGGTCTGAAGTGACGTGGGATCAAAGCGCGAGTGTTCTTTACCTTTCCTGCTAAAGCCCCTGGAATGACTATTTGAAAAGCCATGTCAAGCAGGAAAAACAACAGAAAAGGAGACTTTTATGTATAGCAAGCTTCTAAAAAGCTTCTAAAATAAGAGTTTTAACATCTTGGAGCCATTTACTTACTAACCCTTTTTTTCTTTTTCCCCCCTCCAGCAAACCAAGATGAATTTATGAAATATTTTAGTCTTGCCAACTTGGCCTTCTCGGCTGCACAACAGCTTCATCCAACATTTTCCTTTCAACTCCAGGCCAGTTGTCATCACTGATGGAGTCAGTCTGAACTCACTGGAGAAAATCCCATCACATTCAACAAACCCCCAGATTTACCCACTGTCTCCAAGAAGCAAACAAAATTCCTACCTGGGACCTGATACTGTGTTATGACATGACCAATACTGCATGACCACGACATGGCCAGCGCTCATTTGTGCTGATTTCTTGCAATTTTATCTAAGCATCTGCTACTGGGGCCATCAGTGCTTGAATCTGAGGCTCACTGGACTCCTGGGTCGAGCCAGTGCAGCCATCCTAATGTTCTTATACTTCCCAAATTTTGTTTAGCCATAACTTGGCTGCAAATTTGCTCCCTTTTTGTTTTCCACTACAGTGCGAAGAATTGCTCTTTACTTATTTATTTTCTAGACCACTGATGCTGTTTTAGGAAGTCTCCAAAGCACGATAACCTGCTCTGGTTATGCAATATGCTGCTAAAGTGCTTTTGGCGAGCTCTCCTTTCATCCACATTTGCATCAGACTCCTCCAGGACAGTCACTACTTTTCTTTCTTGGGCAAGGCAAATATCATCCCTCCTCTCTCAATAGCTCCTGCACCCACTGGCCTTGACTGCGCCACCAGCTCCTAGACTGACGTGAAGCTTCGCTTGGGCAAAGCAAGGCAGTTCTCATTTTATTATTTCCTTTGCTCCAGCCGATACACGACTGATTCGCAGCCCAGCTAGACTGGGTTTATTGGAGCGCTGCAGGAAATCTGGCAGTCGGGAGGGTGGGAACGTGGCTGGGGGACGCGAAGGAATTTCTACCAACAAACTTTCTCAGCAACTTGGCTGATAAAGCGAGCCATAAAGCAGCCATAAACAGCAATAAAAGCAAACAAGTCATCCTGAAGATTGAAGGCATTTAAAGAAAGGAAACGGAGCCAGTTGATGCAGACAGGCAATAATATGGGAAGGACGGTGCTATCTAAAAGGGATTTGAGAAAAAGAATGGTGGTGCAGCTCAAAGGCATCTCTCACATCAGAAGCAGGCAGGCAGGATGGCTGTTTTGCGTACCTGGTAGATATCACATATATAGGCTATTGTGCTGTAACCCTAAAAATAACCCTGCAATGATCCAACAGAGAAGCTTTACTCACCAGCAGCTCCATTGTGGGGAATCAAAATCCACCCCAATGCATAAGGGCTGCACGAAACCCTAGGCCAGCACCTATTGGGATTTTGCTCCCCAAAACTGTCTCTAGAGACTCATTTTGCTGGAGCTTTGTGGCAGGGCTGGCTCTGGTCATGGGCTGTGCATGTGACACAGGATAAAAAAGGATTCAAGCTGAAGCACATATAGGATTAGGTGATGCAAGTGCCTGGGGGAATTTTAGAGTTTCAGCTATCAGACGAAGCGAGGCTGTTGACTTCTGGAAAGCTGGCGTGGAGGGAATGAAAACCCCGAGGGAGCTGGGAATCCGCTAGTGTCTGGGAAATCTGCTGCGGGAAAGTGGAAAGTATTTGTGAAAGAAATTAGGGAGGCTGCAACTGAAATTCCTCTGGTGAAGACTCCAGCAGAGAAAAGCTCTGCATTGCAGGGACACGCAAAGGAGCGTCCGCGGGGCCAGGCAGCCAAAGTTTGCAGCCAGATAGTTGTGGCACCACGTGAATGTCGTCGGTTATGAGAAAACTGTAAGGGAGCTGGGCTAGTGATTTTGTTTACTCTGGCTCAGAGATGAAAGTGGAAGTGCAGTGAATGTGAGCTTGTCACCAACACCAAGATTTCACTCCAAGGGCTTTAAGGCACGAGCTCTCGAAAGCAACTGTGGATGCCTCCACTTCTTAGTGCTCTACTATGGACAAGTCCACAGGGCCCATTCTTCAAAAATAATGAAAAAAATAGAAAAAATCTGCTGTCTGGATCTAGGCTTCAAAATAGCACCATAGCCAAAAATCACTAGGATTTGTGAAAGTCCTGAGCAAGGAAACACAGAGTGAAGAGCAGTATAGGGAAGCATGGTCAAGGCACAAAGGTCAGCAAGGAAGACTGCGGCAGAGGCACCATGAGTTCAATAGATCAATGACTAATTTCAGGATATGTTGGAGAGTTGGTTGTTTGGTGAAGCACCAGGAGGTGGAGGAAGGTAGATAAAGGCAAGGTATGTGGAACTAGACAGGCTCTCCCAGTTACTGGCCTATCTTCTCTTTCAAAAGGGAGGCTACTGTTTCCAATGTGCTTCCCCTGTTGTTCCAAAATGCACATGAAGTGGAGGAAACCTATTTTTAGTCTACAAGTGTGAGCAGAAACATTAAAAAAAACCAACCGCTTCCTGTTTAGGGCTACTGCCATGGAGAGAGACGCTGCCAAGACGCAGAGGTTGGGGACAGGACCTCGCCACAGGTTAGAGCTCTTGAACATGGCCCTGGGAGAGCGGAGCAAGCACGGCTGGGGAAGCCAGGACAAGTCAGCACGTTCGTCCGGCCCCGAGCTGCGAGAAGAGTCACCTGAGGATGCGAGGCATGAAAAGCTGCTCTCAGCTCCTGAGAGCCCAAACGCTGAACCAGGAGATTCATGGCTGGGAGTCTCACAGGAGGAGAATGAACTTGAACTTGGTAGTAGTAATAGTATCATTATGGTTGGAAAAAGCCTTTGAGATCATCAAGTCCAACCATACACCTATCACTACCATACCTGCTAAACCATGTCCCTAAGTGCCTCATCTACATGTTTGTCTTTGGGATTTTTGGTGCTTAAATTCTTTAGGCTGATCTCAGATCTCAGCCTCAGCACCACGGCTGGGCAAAGACTTACCAAACTCAGTAAATCAAAGGGGGTGATCGGGACTTATCTGCCAGCCCAGATAAGCACCACCATCTGCCTCTGGTCCCCATTCTTGTGACCACTGCTTCATTTCCACTGCTCAATAAAGCTCCATCCTGCAAGAGCACAGGGGCAGGGGCTTCCCCAGGACGATTGGGGCTCTACAAAAGTTGCAGGAAAACTCCTTGCTCTGTCCAAGATGCTGAAGTGCTGATGAAGCAGCTCTTGGCTGGAGATCTCATTGATCGTGGGGCTTAATGATCATTCAGCACTTGGGAACTCTGCTTTGTTTCCCATCTGGCTGACACTTGCTGTGCACGAGCCCCACGAGAGCTCCAGGGCACCTCGTTTGCTCTCAGCCTTTGCCCTTGGGCAACAGCCTCAAGGCCACAGATGGAAGAGGAATCTTCATTTGCACCAAATTAAGGGCCATGTTTTTGAGGAAAGGGATGAAGAGCTGAAAACATCTTTAAGAAAGAGGTTTAAGAGTTTCCTGCAATTTAAAGTGCTTATGGCCTCTTTTATGCCTTATTTGAGCTGCTTCCTAGTCCTAACCTTCTGCATTCCTCTAGCAGATAAGGGTGGGACAGAATCGCAGCACAGCAACCAGAAAAGCTCAGAGTTGCAAAAGCAACAGAGTTGAACAAAACACAGCATCGTACTTGATTATGTTAGAGGGTTTTCTTAATACATCCATACAAGTGAGACCAGAATGAGTCACAGCACTGAGGCTAAAGACAATTAAATCCAACTTTCTATGGACACCTAAGAAAACAAAATCAAATGCAGATGCAATACATGCTATCCAACTGAATCCTGCCTTCTGATCCTCTTTGGCAATACCTGGATGTCTCTGATACTTATTAAAGTGGGGAGTATTCCAGGTGGGAACTCAGTTTCAGGTGTGTCTAAGTAATGTAAGAGTTTAAGGACCCATTTCCAAAGGGACTTTGGGAATGAATTGCAGCTTGATTAAAGATTTATCCATCTAAAAATCCCCAAACCCGGTAGATAGTTGCAGCAACTGCACAGATATCATTGTAGTCATGGTGGCAGACTGAGGGAATTGTTCATATCCTTGCACTCAGAGTGCTTCAGTGTTTCCACCAGCAAACGAGATACAAGAGTTTGAATTAAGAACCATTTCATACTTCGGAACACAGCATTTTCTTCAGTTCGCTGGTTGAAAGTAGTTCCTCATTTTAAGGCTCTATCAGTGATGTTTTAGATGACATTTAGATCTTTCAAAAGCCAGAAGACCATCATATACAGAAATCAGCTTTTCTACAGGCAGGTTTTTCACTTTATGAATAGGACAATCCGCAATGCTCTGTAGGAGTAGGAGACTTCATGCTTCTCCTGCTGCACCACTAAAAGCACAGAGCGGATGTCATCACTGAATTACTCTGATGACTAGTTTTAGTTCCCCTTGTGCTTTTTCCACATCAGACAGACTGGAAAGGAGGAAGACCCAACACTTTGCTCCTTCTAAAATCACAGACTGAAATGGCAGAAATGAATCCTCAAGGGTGGATTTGCTGTCAGTGTCATACAGGATATTTTCAGCTACTCTCTGACACACTATGAGAGCGCAATAAAGAAAGGGGAAAAAACAATGGAAAAAATGAATTCCAGGAGGCCATATAACAGACCATGTGGTCATTTAATTTCTACTCTGGGCTTTCATTAGTAAGTGAAAGTATGATTGCCTATTTGCAAAGCATCTTAGCACAACTGAGAATACATCCCCCAAAAGATACTATGAGTTAGGCTAAGGGGAGGCTAAACATAACCCACCAGGCGGAGAGCATTGGGGAAGGTCTTGCGCATCCCCATGCACTTCTCCTGGTCGATGAAGAGGGAATTTGCCTTGACAGCCAGGTCATGCTCCAAGGTCGACTTGGCGTGAACCAACATTTGCAGCGTGTCCTCGGCGTCCCTCAACCTCTGCTGAAGGCTCTGGATTGTGTCATCGATTTCATACACCTCGTTGACAAGGCTAGAAAAGACCAAGATCCCCCCAGCGTTAATGGGTGATGGGATGGAGGTCGCCCTTCACGGGCATGTTTCTAGCACAATGTTGCTGATAGGCCCCTTGGCACATAACTTCCCTCTTCAGCTGCCTAGAATATAACAAAAAGGAAATGTTTCCGGCAGACGGCTGCAAAAATGGACAGCAGGGCTCCTCCTGGCTTCAGCTGGGCAGCACGATTAAGCCTGCAGCCAGGAAGCTGCATCTATGGTGAAGTGCAGGAACATCTCCCCGGCCAGCACGTGCTCATGAGAAGAGGGACGGGCAGCTGTGGTTTCTGGTTCCCATTTTAGCTTTTCTGCTTTTCTGCCTTGCCCTTGGGGATTTCCTCACACAGGGGCCTCCCCCTGCCTGCAGACCTGCTGCACAGCGTGGGGAACAGGGTGAGGTTCGAAGGGAATTCGGGAATAAAAGGGCCTTGGAAAAACAAAAGCAGGTGAGATGCTGTGAGAAGAGACTCAGGAGAAACAATCCTACTTTCAACTCAGGAGCAGAGCTCCAAAATTGCTTTTAAAAGGTGAGAGATCGAATCATGCCCTGAAGGCTTCCAGGAGGATGTCCTGCACCAGGGAAGGGAGGAAAAGAGGGGGAAGCAAGTGAGCTTTCCTCATTTTTTTTTCTTCATTTTGTTTATATATAAAAAAGGCAAAATTAAACTGTTGCAAACTTCAGAGCTCCCAGTTTCCCCACCCCATGGCATTGGCCAACTCAGATTTGTATTTCCTCTTGTGCCCAGGCAAGGAGTAGCTGCAAGATCATCTCTTAAGGACCACAGAGACAGCTCCTCTATTTGTGAAAAATTGTCACATCCTCCTTTTTGGAGGAGACATTTCCTTTGGTCTGCCTTCCTTTCAAAGGACAGCCTGCTTCGCCCATGCCTTGCACCTTCCCTTGTAGCTACCCAAAGGAGACAGCTAAGCCCTCCCAAGGTGAGGTTGTAGAGCAAAGGCTCTGTCCTTCAAGATAGGGCACGTCCAACCCCCAGGGAGCAGGCAGGAGGGAAGATGTTCACCCAAGCAGGAGAAGTTCAGCCCTTGTGGGGTAGCATCAGCCTGCACCTGCCTGTGGGGTGACCATAAGGATGCAGCAGCCTCCTTTGTGGACACAGAGCTGCGGTCACTCCTTGCTTTTGATTGTATTAGTGCATTTAAGGAAGGACTGTTTAGAAAAAGGCCTATTATTAACTTTGTCATGCAGTGATGCTCCTGTGTGCTACAAGTTGGTAGTTCCTGGAGAATAAGTGCAACCCTGTACTCCATCCTTACCGGATTTGGGCACTATCCCGGCACAACTCCACATTTGGTCTCCGTGTGCGCTCATCCAGCCGAGTGTGGGCTACTTTTAATGGTGGTCCTTTATCCCGAATAGCTTTTCGAATGGTTTCAAGGCTCATCTCAGTCTGGAAGATCTCCTGCAGGGTCTGGCATTTAAGAAAGAACAAATGCATGAATTGCACAATATATTCTCAATACATTATTAGTATTCAATATATTCATGATAGGCTTTCAAATGTCAACATCATCTTCCCTTTTATTCTGTCCATCTGTAGAAAAACTCAAGTTCATTCAGTAGACCCTACTGCCTCTCCTAGTGCATTTGCACTACTGCAGCTGAGTGCTGGGTTGCTTTTGGATCTGCAGGGCGCAGATCTTTGTCTTTCCTCCTCCTTCATTTGCTACCTGCTGTCAGAGCCTCTCCAGCTCCCGGGGAAGGCGGTGGATGCAGTGCTCCCATCTGGTGTGGGTACCAAGCTGGGCTCGAACCACTGCCACTCCACCACTTACAGATGCACAGATCCAGCAGAGATTTCTCCTGAGGGCAAAAGTCTCTCAATGCTGTAGCTGTCACGTCAGGGGTTTTGGAACAGAGTGACTGATCAGCCCAATTACTGCTTCCCAAAATTACTTTTCAGGAGTTATTCATCCACCGGTAGCTACTAATGGAGAGCAGGCCTTTAAGGGGGCTCTTTTAAAAGTCATGGCATCAACCTGCATTGCTGAAAACCCAGCCCAGCCTCTGCTCCGTCATCTGACGGCGAACTGAGCTCCGAGCGCTTTTTAGGAAACTTTCCGCAAGATCCATGTGTCTTGAGCCATGTGCCCATTGCTCTGATTTCAATTTATCCTGCTCAGCAGAGCAATGTGCAAAACACACAGATATCTGTGCAGCAACCACAAAGCGCCAAGATTCAAAGTGAGTTTTTTGAACAGAAGTGATGCTATGAAACCCAGACAGGCGTCCTGGCAGAGGGTCAGCAAACACTTGATACACAGTGACAGTTTCTGAAGTGGCAACTAGGAGCATTTTCATTTGCTGCTAAAAATCCTCCTTGTGTTGCTAGGTTGTCAGCTAGGCCATACGGCAAAATCATTTGGCAAACAGAATAGGGTATTGTTTGACCTGAAACAGCAGTGCACAGTCATTCTACTGGAAAAAGATACCCTGAATGCTTTGAGTTTCAAACAGAAGTCATACTATAATACAAATTTCTGTGACACCGTTCCTCTGCTTGGGCCAGATCCTCCTGGAGGTTCAAGCTTCTGCTTTGGAGCTGTCATTCATAAGGGACAGTTTTGCACCAAGAGCAAGGGTTCAGTTGCAAGGGTGCAAAGTGAAGGATCTGGGTTACCTTAGCCAGGTGGGTCTGAATCTTATTTTTGGCATCTGCTGTCTCCGCAATGCGATTGGTAAAGGCCACGTTCACTCTGTTGAACTGGTTCCACATCTCATTGGCGGTCACCACCAGCAGGTTCTCGATGTCTCCTCGCAGCTTGGAGGAGGCAGCCCGTTCACTCTGGGAGCGCAGAATATTATCATCTGTAAACTTGGCCCAGGAGTCTGGCACAGAGATCCTAGGGAAAGGAAGGGAGAAGCCACTGAGGATGACTATGGGCAGTCATGGATCATGTCAGGAGGAGCTCGGATTAAACAGAGCTTTAAGAGTCTTAGTTTGACTGCACATTGGTTAAACTTCTGGATATGATTTGGTCAATAATGTTTATCAAATGATGAAGCATTCATGAAAACAACTCGGATTTTTATGAAAGCTCCAATAAAAACTCAAAAATGCCTAGATGGTAAAGATCAAATCTTATATCTACAAACATATTAATAGCATTTAAGTGCCAAATGGTTTACCACTTCACGACAATACATGCATTGCAATTGATTGCTTTTGTTGCTAACTTATGAACACTAGATAATATTTGGTTCCCTTTCTGTGCATTCAGAATGAAGTTCACGCCTGTGCAGTAGTCCAGAACAAGATCAACAAAAGACTTAAATACCACATAAGCTCCCTTTAAAACATGCTGATTATCTTCACATTTTACCCCCTCTAAATTTTAGCTGCAATCCTTTGCAATTCATTTGCCTGTCTAAATATGTCTGAGCTCCACTGTGAATAATTATTCAAACATTAGAAAAATTGAATCAACGTATGCCACCCCATAAACTGCATGTGTCTGTGTGAGCAACAGATTGATTTCTTTAGCCCTTTGCCAGTTGCAGCATATTTATGTGAGGGCTGGTTTAGGTCACCATTCATTTATTGCAGAGTCAAAGCTGAATTCCTGGCACCCAAAAGCTGAACTGTATCCCAGCACTGCTCCTCTTTTTTTTCCTGAACTCCATCATCACTTAGGCTCCCAGCCAGGGCTTCTCCACAGTGGTGAAACCCCTGGACTTTATGTCAATGAGGAGCACTCAAGCAAGCATTGACACATCTTTAAAAATACACATAAACTTAATGAGCTGTGTAAAGGTGCTAAATTGAATTCCCGCAATTTTAGGCTGATCCCCCAGCGCTGATAATGTTTAATTAGGTAGGATTCATTTTGTCTCACTTTTGCCCCCTAAATGTCAGGTGTCCAACTGAAGGCAGAGGGACTGGCTCCCTTCAGTGGAACAGCTCCTCTGACGTAGTCCAGCCCCTGCATGGGTGGTGTGGGAGGTGCAATGGTTTTGCCAGATAGAGCTGCATGTCTTTACAGAGAAGCTTGGACAACCAGCTCCCCACTAGCAGAGACAGCATGTTTCGGTGTTCAAGCTCTCCTGGCTACAGGGCACCAGGTAGCATCTCCTAAGGATGCCCTTGTCTCCAGGCCTGGCCAGCATGTCCCATGCTCAGCATACACTCACGTAGCATCGACCCGCTCCACCCCTCGGTAGTAACTGATGCCCTCGGAAGTGTTCCTCAGGTGGTGGCACTTGTCATCAATGCGGTGGGCAGTCTGTTTGTCAGCCAGATCCTTCTCCAACTCATGCTGGGCTGCCCTGTTTGACCTTCAGCATAAGAACCACCAGTCAGTGAGGACATATGAGTGCAACATGTCACAGCACCCTCCCACCTCATTCCCAGCAGATCCCACCCCGGTGGCTCCTTGCTTTGTGAGAACATTGCTGCATTTCCCATAAAGCCTGCTCTGGTTTTGCACCTTCAAGATGAAGGTAAGGAGTGATGTCTGTCAGAGGTAAAAGCAGGGGTATGTTGGAGTGAAGGTAGCAGCGTGCTAGGGAAAAGGCAGAGGTCTATTGGGGGGCTCATCTGACAACCCAGGCCAGATATGGGGTTATGGATTTCCTCCTCACGCGAGTTGAGCGATCGACTTATCCAGGTACCGCTGCATCCTCTCCTGACAAGACCTGATGACGTCGACCTCCTGGGCAATGACAAACCAAGCTGGTGTCAGTGTCCACGCGCTTTCATCCTGCTGACGCTCATCCCTTGAGGCCTCCCCCAGCCTTGCACAGCAAGAACTTGCCTATTCATCCTGCTCAAAGCCAACAGGCCAGAAGTAGAAAGCATTATCCTTCCCAACACCATTTATTCTGCAGAGCCAATGCACGGTGACCATGAGGGAGGACAGGAGGGTGTCTTCTCTCGCTGGACCAAAAAAGCTGAGTGGTCATCAACCTGCCACTGCCTCACTGGCAAGTCATGGGTAGTGACTAGTGTGGAGTTCCTACCCACAGTGAGCAAACTAGGAGCCTGGGGAACATCTCATCCCTGGTTTGCCGGGAGCTTGCTCAGTTATCATGGAAGTATCCAAAGGGTCCTGTCACCTCGTGGTGCCCCTCAGCAGGGGGCAGTTTAGCAAGCATCCCAAGAAGGCCCCTCTATGCCTTGAATTAACCCTGGGAAGGCCCAGCCTCAATATCCCCTCAGAGCATGCTTGCTTTGACTCAGCTCCCCCATTACCTTCACCCATCATAGCTTAAAATTTTGGAGTAGCCTAGTGGAGAACAGTGTGTTTCCAGCTGCCCATCTCCTTGCAGCTGCTCCTGCTTCCCCACATTTGGGATGTAGAGCCATGGCCATATGCCACCCGTGCAATGGTGACAGCCAACACTGCTGTGACTGGCGACACGCTCTCCCCGCTTCCAGCTGCCAGGGCCACAATGCCACGGATTTATTCATGGACTGGGATCAGTCACACGGCAGCTACTCTGGCCACAGCGATGGCCTTTGCATTAGCTTTCAGGGCCCGAGGGTGGGTTGCCAAACATTTTTTCATCTTGACATCAATGCCAAGTCCCAATTAGTTCCAGCGCATGTGGGCAGGGACTGATCCCAACCTGGGATAAACTGGCAGAGCAGTTATCTGTCTCTGCAGTGCTTTAGCACACCCACCCCAAAACAGAATCTGCCCTTTTTGCCCTCAAAATGTTTGCTTCTCACCTGTGTTTTCTGCTGGAGACAGCAGATAGATTTTGCTTTAAGTTTAGTCATTTCTTATAAATGCCCTGCTCTAGCAGAGAGAGGGGAAAAAAAAACAAACTAACAAACAAAAAAGAGTTGCACTCTCATCTCTCTCTTGACTTTAGGACAAGCCTATTGCATTTCTGAGTTCCCAGACACTGAAGGTCAGTGATTAGCACTTCAAAGAGGAGTTTAAGTCCTCTTGTCTACAGAAACAAGCTGAAAAGCATAGACTAAATGTGTCCTAGATGCTTAAAATCCAGAATGCCATTAAGGACATACCAACTCTGATAACTTTATAAAAATCTCTTGACCTTTAAGTTAATCTATTTTTTTAGGGCTTGACTCATAAAAAATCCTCACTGAGCAGTGGCTTCAGAGTCCCAAGGGCTGTGATTTCCTCCTCGGTTTCATGAGGCCCTTGCAGTGATTATATTTCCCTCTACCCTGCATTCAAATCCCATCTTTGGTGCCAACTCTTGTCTTGCTTTTTGCTGGTAATTCAAAGCAGACTACATAAAGGCAGGCAGGAAGCACATGTTTTCTATAATTTCTACAAAATACATGGCCTAACTGCACGTAGTGGTTGTTCTGTCACAGCCACGCTGTGCTGAGCGCAGAAGCAAAGCAAAGCTGGGAGTAGATGTAATATCTTTTATTAGACCTACTAATACCGTTGGGAAAACTAGACAAGCTGTCAGGCACATGCAGCTTCATAGCTATGTGTGTATGCGTGCACGTGCTCAGATTGGTATAGATCTGGTGCTGGCAAGGGCCTCTGAATACAAGGACCTTGTGTCAGAAGAGAATTTCACAAGCTGCTTGAGGGAAGACTAACTCCTATCTGCTACAAAGGGACCCAGCTGTTTTTCAGCGGGAACTGCACCTGGTAGGAATGCTTCATTTCCTTCCTTTCCAAGGGAAGGTTTTATCCAGGAGATGGGGGCATGTGGCTCTACAGAGACACCATCCTCAAGGCTCAGCAGGTTTTGGGGATTAAACCAGTTTGCCTTGTCAAACATTTCTGCTTCATGGTCACTATTTGCCTGAGCATGCAAGGTAGCATAGATCAGCCTTTAGTGTCTGCACTTTTATTAAGCAATAGCTCTTTGGAAATGAATGCTCATTAGTAACCCAGCATGGTGCAGACCCCTGGAAATCCCTGCACCAAGCAGCCAACCTTCCCCATTTCTCCTTCTACCACCCAGCCAACAGCTCCTGGAGACACTGCCAGTCCCTTCCCCATCTGAGACATTGATGATGGCAAAACAGGCCACGGATTAGAGCTACTTTCACCCAACCTGCCCTGAGCAGGCTTTTCAGCCATTTCCTAGCTGGTCTGGTAGCAAAGCTTACCGTCAAGAGTTGTTTCTCCACATCATCATGGACTAGATCAATGCCCATCCTCTTCTCCCGGTGAAGCAAGCACTCTTGGGCTACCTGTTGGGTAAATATCATCATTGCTGGCTGTAGGAACAGGATGCTGCATAGGGACAGTCCCTATCTCAATTAGCATATGACAAAAGAAGTAATAGGTGAGCAGAGGAAAAGAAGGACAGAGCTGGTCACAACAGGGATTGGTCCTCAGGCTCCAGTGAGGACTTTGACTAGGGTGAGGAGTGAGGCTGCGTGTATCCAGGGAGTTTCTCCATCTTTGGGAATAGTACAGAAGGCAAAGATATTTATTCCAGAATGTAGCAGCAAGGAGAAGGCCACAGACTGGCTGGAGGCTGCAGGACCTCCCTGGGGTAAGGTCTACAGCCAGATTTTGCAAAACATGCCATGTCTCATGCCATGTTTCTTTTGGGGGAGAGGAGAGAAAAAAAAAAAAAAAAAACACCCCTCCCATCTTGCATGGAGCAGGGGCTGGAACAAAATGGCCAGGGCAGGGTTTAGCTGACACTGAGCAGCCAAGCTGCAACATCAGCACTAAATAAGCATGAAGAAGCACATGTGTCCATGGTGTAATAGCAGCTGTATTCAGGGATCTGCTCCAGGCTTGAATCCAACTTGATTGGAGCTTCATAGTGAGGCTTTTGTATCTCAAAACAGGATTGTGAATATATCACTTAAAGAAATATTTGGTTAAGCAAATACCCTTCTGATGTGCTCAGCATGGGCTGATAGGGAATGTAGCAGATGCCAAGGGCTTTGTTTATTACTATCTTAACTAATGGTCTCTTAATAAAAAACTTTGTAGATGTTACAGAGCTCCAGGGAAACTCAATTAGAAGTCTGAACGGCTGCAGATGTTAAAGTGATTGGCTACAGCTTGTAGAAGCCTCGCTAGAAACAGTGTTTACCTGAAGGGGACCCTCAGTCTCAGCCAAGGCTCTTTCCAGTCGCTTCTTCATGTCTGTAAGTGCATTGGTCTCTCCTATCATCTCATCCAGCTCATGGCGGATCTCTGATTTCCAAAATTCAATATCATTGACACGTTCACCCAAATTTTTGGTGCTTTCTGCTTGAGTTTTCTTTGTCTGTTGATCTTTATCATGAATCATCCAGGAGGTATCAACTCTCAGTCTCTCTGCACTGTGCCGGGAAGTCTCCGACTCTTTGTAGTTGTTCAGGTTGGACCTGTACCAGTCATCAGGGGTGTAGCGAGTAAAGAGCGTTGTTCGGTTGGAAACAAAAGGAAGCATTTTGCTGGGGGTTAACCCCTGGGAGCTTCTGGAATAAGGAGCCAACGTTGGAATGATGCTGGCTGTTTTGTAATAGGCATCAGGTCTCCAGGGAAGGCCCAGACATGGAGGCAAGGCATAGTGAGGAAACCGGTTCTTATAGCTTGAAGTCATGGCACTGATGGCAGGTAGTAAGTTGGCAGATGTTGATCTTGGATGGGCACAAGTTGATGCTAAGGTAGAGCCAACAAGCTCCATTCTTGAAAACTGCTATGTCCTTTTTGATGCAGGACGTACAACTGCATAGAAGACAACAATCACATTTAATTGACTCCTGTACTCGCATTACTTCCTATACAAAAACATGCAACTTTTAACACAAATGGTGGTACACACAACACCCACACAACCCTCATAAAGGCTTAAAACTCTGAAGAACAAATCCCTTCTGACAGTGTTCCAAGAATTTGTATATTTAAGAATTCAACTTTGTTATTAGTATCTTGTATTAGGTCTTGAAACGCAGAGGGAAACAAATCATAGATACTATTGAGAATGACAGATATTGTGCTGTGCTCATCCTCAGATCTGTCATTCCAGTGATATTTTCCTTGGTGATTCAAGGCTGTTTTTTTCATCTTTTGACTAGAGTTTGTGCCACTCTTGTTGTATTTGAGATGTGACACTGTATTTAAATGCCACATTACCAGCTCTGAGAGTTGTCCTCCTTTGGATATACAGCTGCTAGCAGCCCAGCTCAATCTGTGGACAAGGACTCCATCCTCATCATCTGTATCTTCACTTGTGTTTCACCCTTAGAGAAGGGCCACTTCCCTTGACTTGGGTGAGAAACAGGCTCACCTAAGATACACATTTGGGAAGGAGATATCCCACAAAGCCTTTCCAGAATGGCTTATAATCACCAGTCCAGCAGCTAGTGGACTGGTGACCACTCAGGGGGACCAGCCCTAGAGCCCACAACAGCAAGGGGAGAAGCTTGTGGTCAGTTCCTGCTGTAGAAAGACACCCAATCTCCAAGTCTCCTGTGTTAAATGAATTATCAGTTCCTCTATCAGGATATTTTCCAAAAATCACCAATTTTAGCTAAGAGAAATGGTCCTGTATTTAATTATATTAATTTACCATGCCACAGAGCCCAGCTTCCCACACCTACTCCAGTCCTCAGACCCAGCTTGCTCCCAAACAGCTCAACAGCTTGTTCTACATGCTGGGAAATGCGGAGACTGGGAGCGCAAGTCTGGCACAGCTGGCAGGGACACATCCCTCCCCAGCACCATCCCCTTTGCATCCAACCTGGCTCAGGAGCCCTACCAAGGGACAAGGATGCTAGAACAAGAAACCCTGGACTGGGGGTGATGTTTGACATCAAACAGGCACTAAACCCCATTTATTACAGCATAAAATAAACTTTACCTCTTTAAAAAGGGAGGGGGAAAACTCTATGAAATGAACTATTTTTATTCTAGGATAAAGCACTCACAAAAGCTATTACATAACCAGAAACTTAATGGCTCCTCTTGGGCTATCCTTATCCATTTGCACATACAGGGAGGCCAAGAGGCTGTTTTATTTTTAAACTTTTTAATTTCTTTCACTTTAGTCACCTCAGCAGCCAACAACACTCCCCTCAGAGAGGCAAGAGCAGCAATAACTTATTATTTCTTACTGCAAAGCTTAAGAGGCAGTAGATGGGAGACTCGGAGTGCTCAGCGCCCATATCCCAAGCTATACAACACACCATTAAATATTCAGCAAGCGATCATTCCGATAGGATGAAATAGAGATGGGAAAGTGCATTTTCTCAGGAACAACCACAAGGCGGAAAGACAGGGCACTTCCAAACATGGTCTAGCTGCTAATACAGTGCAGTGAGGAAAATACACTAGATACATTGCCAGCTTGCACTATGCAATGGGCAGATGACACAGCTCATTAGGCGCACAAAACCCTGGCTGCTGGTACAGGTCTGAGCAGACCACTAATAAATCCCTTGAAGGGACCTCCAGTGACAGCTGTTTGGGCAGGGTGGATTTATTTCGTCTTATTTAACCCTAAAGAGCCATATAAATGAGATGGAATAAAACAATGCAAGCAGCCAGTCAAAATAGGAGAAAAAAAATAGAAAATAGACCCTCAAGAGGTGATGGCTGGGGAACAAGCCTGTGAGGACTGTTCATGGCTGAATGCAAGAAGAGAAATCCAAGAGGTCACTAGTGGCCTGCAGTGGTTTGATGCAGGCATCCAGATGACCAACATCTCAAAGTGCCATCTATTAAATAAAATAATAATAATAAACACAATGATTATCAGGTCCTTCAGCTAAGTAAAAAAAAAAAAAAAAAAACACCCAGCTTGCATGTGGGAAACCACTGAGCTTGACCAGTTTTGGCCATGCTGGCGCTGTGCTGCTGCGGTACCTGCTTTTGGATCAACACAGCTGCGGGCACCAAGTCTTGTCCCGAAAAGGGGCCGGGCCGCGGGGGCTCCAGGGCAGGCAGCAGGAAACTCACACCCTTAAATTTAGCAAAATCTTTCGCAACTGTGACCCTCGGAGCCAGTTTGGCAGGACACGGGACGAAATGTCTGCGCTCGGGTCCAACAAAAACCACAGTGTGTGCTGGTTCCCACACAGCCACCGCTGCTGTCCTCTCATCCCAGCGCGGGGGAAATTCCTGCACTCCCCCTATTTCGGCAACACATATTTCCACCCAAGAAACTGAATGGAGGGAGTGGAGACAACTTCCCTGGCTGACACACCTGCAGATAAATCAGTCCCTTCTGGATAGGGACACACAGGCTTAGTCAAGGAGGAAAACAACCCTGGGAATACCAGGATAACAATTCCCTGTGCCTGCAGCTGCAAGCACAGTTGTTACATGCCACAGGGGACGAGTCAGCCCAAGGTGGCACTTGCTGTGCCCGGACCCTCCCGACCTCTTGAGCGCACACACACAGTGATATCAAGAATATTTGGACGGTACACTAGGCATTCTGGGGTCTGAGAAAAATATTGCTTTTATAGCCTCCCTCCTTCCCCTCTCCCACTTGAGGCATACGCACATCCTTAGCACAAAGAAAATCGTATTGAAAGCCAAGTTCCCTACGTGGTACCGAGCCAGGGCGCTGCCTCTCACCACAGCACTCAGCGCCTGGGTGCTGGGTGCGCTCCCGGCGGGTGCAGGACCCCGGGGTGATGGAGGGGACGAGCAGAGCTGCCACTCACCACTCTGCTCCGGCTGCGTCGCCCCAGAGCCCCGACGTCCCCTGCGCTCCGTGGGCACCGTTGCTACGGGTGCACGGGGCGCTCGGCAGCTCTGTGCCGCTGCCAGGCAACCCCGTACAGCTCCGGGCCACCCGTTGCTCCCATGGGGAAAACGGAAGCTTGTGCTTGGCAAGCTCATATATCTGCTGGGAAAGCCGGTGTATCCATTGGACAACGAACCTGGTACCCCTTCTGAGCAACCAAATGTATCTGCTGGGCAGCCAAGTGTATCTGCTGGGCATGCCAGTGTCAATCTTGGGCAACTCAGTGCCCTCACTGCAAAACCTAGCGATGCCACTAGGCAATTCACTGGCACCACTGGGCAAACCAGTACTGCTAGTGGCAGCCCAGTGTCCCTAACTGCCTCCAGGGCTGGGAACCCTTTCTGGGAGCATAAGGTTTCTCAGCTGTCAGGCTTTGAGCTAAGAGAAGCCACCAAAACAGGTATCAGAAGGGCCTGTTGGTGCTATGATGGTTAGCAACAGACCAATGCAGCTGTGCTGGTGTTATAATTACATGACAAGGTGTGTCAGGGATGGTCCTCACTTTTTGAGGAAGGAGAGGCTGCCTTATCTATTTTATCCAACTTTGGCATAGGCATTCTGTCTTCTAGCAGATACAGCCTACCTGCTCTTCTCAGATCCTCTTTCAATTTCTTCTCATTTCCTCAACTGCAGCTGTAGCCAACAACACCAAGTCATTTTACATCTCTCCCTTAGCAGTCACTCCATGCCACCACTTCTCCCACTTCTCCTTTCTAGGCACTGGCCATGTGCGCTCACACCCCTACGCAACTTGCAGAAACGACACTTTTGTTGCCAAAGACATGACATAAAAATGATTTAGCCAAACTGCTTTGTGTATACAAAGCTTTGCGCACACTGATTCCCCTTTAAACACATACTTTGCTTAATGGGCTGAAGAATCAGCTTAATCAAAGTGAAATCCAAAACTCAGCCTGCAGGCTGCTTTTCTCTAACTAAACCAGGCAAAGCAATTTCAGCCAAACCCACTGAATCTCAGCATTAATACAACATTGTAGATCCACACTTGCACACTCACCCTCAGAGATCCTTGCATATCTCCCACCTCTCATTCACACCCCCTGCTCTCACCCTATACCCAGCACTAACTTTGCTCAGGTGAATCACTGCACTTTGAGGAACACCACTGAAACCTATAGCAGCTCATAAGGCTTTTGGCACATACGCTTAAATTAAGAGCTAATAATTAGTTAATCTTGTAAATCACCTGCAGGTGCTCTGGAAGAGGGGCTTGGAGGAGAGGATTGCAAAAGGAAGCATACGCCAATGCAGGGGACAGTGTGGGGGTGAAAAAAAAAGATACAAATTTGAGGCTGATGTTAAACAGGTGTTGTCAATTTTTGGCACATCATTGACCAAACTGCAGTTATAAGGCATACATGTAGATACATACATATAAAATCTACTGCCAAAAAAGAACATTATTTCTGTTCTCACAACTCTACATTCTCACTGGCTATTGATATGTCATTACATAAGGATCATAAGCCACCCCTCTGAAAATACTCAGATCTTTCATAGCATCAGAA